ATTATATGCTCCCAGAATCACTTCCCCTACGTTTAGAGCGGAAGTCCTTCATCCTTGGGCCCCCCCTGGCTCCCTCACTGTACTGGAAGTTTCTATAGGCTCCCCAGTGCTCAGCACAAGTCAAGAGCTCAAGGAGAAGCTGTTGTAGATTCTATTCTGCAGCCACAAAGACCTCACAAGTGCCAAAACCAGCAGGCCACCTTTTTGTTGTTGTTTCTTAAATGTTTTCTTTTGAAATAGTTCTGAATGTACAGAAAAGTTGCAAAAATAATGCAGAGAGTTCTCTACCCTTCCCACCACTTTGCTGAATGCTAGCATCTCGCAGAGCCAGAGCATATGTGTCAAAAATGGAGAATTTATGTCTGTGCATTATGATGAACTAAACATCCATACCTTTTTGTTGTTGTTTCGTTTTGCTTTTTCCTGATTTCCTATGTTTTCCTGCAGATGGTCTATTTTTATTCTCCCTTCTAGGTTCCTGCATAGCATTTAGATGTCATGTCTCCTCATTCTCCTTCAATCAGTGACAGTTTCTCAATCTCTCCTTGTTTTCATGACTTTGACATTTTCTAAGAGTACTCAGTGTTTGACTGATGCTTTCTCATTAATGGAGATTCTGGAAAAAAAATTAAAAAGACCACAAAGGGTATATACCCATCTCATCACATCATGCCAGGGGGCCCTTAATCTCATCCTGATTTATCATTGACAGTGTTGACCTTGAACACTTGGTTAAGGTCCTGTCTGCCAGGTCTCTTCACTTTTACACTGTTAATTCAAAGAGAGCCCACACTCAAGGAGAGGAATTAGGACCTTCCTTCTGGGAAATGCCAAAGAATTTGTGGTTTTATGATGGACCACAACAGTACCTAGGAAATCTGGGGAAGATAAAGCCATGGGAATATTGTTTCACCCACCAACTCCAGATTCATCAGTGAATCCTGCCTACAGCCATTATACTTGAACTGAACGTTTTCACTGGCATGTGCTGCCTTTTGTAGTTTAGCTTAGCCCCTTCATGCCATAGGACTCAGCTCCAGTACTCTCAGCCATGGCTGTCCAATCAGATCTCCTGGAGAGCTTCAACATGTGCCAATGCCCAAGCATGTGTATCTACAGCATGGATTCAATTAGTCTGGGGTGGGGTCAGGCATTGGTGCTTTTTAGAATGGCCCTGGGCCATTCTATGCTCTGGAGCCCAGGTTGAGGACCTCTGGCCCAGCCCTGCCCTCTGGCAGCTTCTTTGGGAAGCTGTCCTTACTCTGCCTGACAGAACCAGTTGCTCCCAGATCTGCGTTCCCAAAAAGAGTTCGTTCCCCGCAATATCCATCAATCCTGTCAGGATCAGGGATTTCTTCATCAATGTTTCTTTAGAGCCCCGACCAGAGTCTTATACAGAGTGGGTTATCAATGAAAATCCGTTGGCTGAGAGAATGAATTCATCTCAATAGAACAAAAACAGCTGCCTGGGCACAAAAGTGGCAGGTCCCTGCACTCTCACTGGCTCCATAGTACTGGAAACCCCAGGCACAGCAGTCCGCATGTCAGTCATCATCTTTTTTTCATGCTGTTATCATAGTTTAAGGCTCTCTAGGAAGAATGAGGCCACTGGGCAAGAAGTCACGGACATGTGCATTGTGGACATCTGTGCATTCTCACTGTTCTTGAGAAGGAATGTGTTCCCATGTTATTTTAAAATTGCTAGGAAATCAATGAGTCAACACTACACTTCTGTCAAGCAGAGATTATCTTGAATTGGTCTCCTTTTGTACGTTTGCCTTGGAGGTCACCAAGATGGCAAAGACCATCCCTGCACTGTAGATCAACATAGAAAGTAAATATTTTAACAAGTGTTTTGAGTTTACAGAAAAGTAAATGAATTTAATTCTTTATACAATGAACTATCCATGTTGATCTATTTTACATATAGTCTTATTAATACTCTACTGTTTTGAGAATTCCAGATTCTGAGTTGGAAGCCATTTGGAGAAATTTGAGAGCAGGCAGATGGATAACTAAGGTGCTGACTCCCCTCTCACCCAAAGGGTTTAGGTTGAAGACACCATGGATAATAAAAGCTATAGAGGATATTTCTGAAAAGTCAAACTTAGGTGGGCAGGTTGTGACCGATTTTACATGACAATTAATACTATATGTGTTTCCTCAATGTGGGGTCATCTATTTGGGAGGGAGCCCTTTTTACAGCCCTCTGGTCCTCCCAAGGCATCCCTGGGTGTGTGAATAGACTTATCCAAGCTTTTGTCACATCACGGCACCTACTATGGTGAAGTTGAGACAGAAGAGAACGCTTCATGAGCTGTGGCTTTCCCTCCATTCTTCCAACAGCCACACAATCACACACATAGCCGCCCTCACCTCTGCTCCCGTGTGGCGCATGTCACCTCTTTGGCCTCAGCTTCCTCAGCAGAGGAATGGGAATAACCATAAAGAATTCATACCATTTTTTGAGGCTTAAACAAGGCGATTTTTATGCAAACCCCCTCTCACAATAGCAAGTGCTCCACACATAGCAAGTGCTCCCAATGGTGTTTTTGTCTTGATTGCATCTTCTGATCAGCTAGATGCTTCTGAGTCCTGGCTGCATCCCTCATCCTTATCTCCTATCTTCCCTTAACTCCCATGCACCATCTCATCCTCAGAACCCGAGTCTTGTCAGACAGGTGCTCTATCTGAACATGGGACTACAGGGTCTTATGTTGTACTGAGCCCAGTGCCTGGAGCACAGCATGTTCAAGTTCTTCCTGTCAGGGCTCTTCAAAGGAAACGGTTTCCTTCTGTTTTCCCTGCCTCTCTTGTCCCTGCCTCTTCAGTTCAGGGTAGAAGGGCTACTTGTTCTTTGCTCTGTTGATGGAGCCTTGATGCAAAGGCTAAAGTTGCATTAAAATTATTATTTAACCCTTGAAGAACCCAAGACTCAGAGAGAGAGGTTAAGCAAATGGTTCAAGCCACATAGCTAGTTTGATCATTCACTTACCCATGCAAAAGGAAGAAATGTGTAACAAAAACCAGATAACGTATTTGCCCTCCTGGAGCATAAAGTCTAATACAGGAGTCATCTACCTCTTTCTATACAGGACCAGAGAGAAAATATTCACAATTGTGTGAGCCACGGGATCTCAGTCGCAATGACTTAATTCTGCCATTGTCGTGTCTAAGCAGCCAAAGATAGTGGGAAATGGACTCACAATGAAATAATTGCATGACTAAATGTAAAATTCACAGTTTAAAGAGGAGAGTTGTGACTCTGGGTACTTGGCGGATACGGGAGTCAGGGAAGGTGCTCATGACAAGTGTCATTTCAAGTAAGATCTAAGGATGAGGAGTCGTTAACTAGGTGAGGAGGAGGCATGGGAAGGAAAACAGTGTTTTGTGCTGACAGAAGAGCTTGTGCAGAGGTCCTGGAGCAGAAAGTACCATGGCTCGTTTTAGACACTGTACTAAGTCCTAGGTGGCAAGAGGGAGCCCAAAAGAGACCAACTCATGGCATGAGCTGATGAAGACCATGGACAGCAATGTGGTCCGAGTCTGGAGGGCTATCGATTCTAAGGGATGGTGTGATTGGATTCTCATTTTGAAGTCCACACTCTGGCTCCTGGCTAGGGGTCCCACTGATGGAGACCCGAAGAGACTGGGTGGCATGGATCACCTTGTTGCAGCCAGAGCCCAGTCCCTGGAGTCCGTGTGGACCTGCAGCTCAGCTCCCTTTCCCCAACTTACCCTTTATTTTATGGTTGCTGTTCCAACAAATCCCTTTCTTTCTCTTCTTCCAAATGAAGAGTCACATTGCATCATGTGTTTTATGGCCATAGCTCCATCCCATTCCATTTTTCTCACCTTCCTCCTTTCCCTCCCCAGCCTCAGCCCCCCACAAGCTGCAGGTTCATAAAACTTGCAAGTTAAATTTTTCAAAGACGGTTTCTGACAAAGCAGTGGGGATTCGGCTTGGTGAGGCCCTCTATAAAAAATTGAAGACACGCTATATTAACATACATTGATTTATTCATGGTGTTTCATTACAAGTAAGTGAGGATCCTGTAATACCAGGAAAGGTTAGGAGAGCAGGGAACGCGGTAGATTATATTGACAGCTCGGTGGAAATTGAGTTGCTTCTGGATTAAATTTGGAGGGCAGGAAAGGAATTGGCTAGTAAATAAGGCATGAGTTTTACCTCCCAGTACTTGTATATCAATGCAGTTGCCACCAGCCCAGCCAGGGGGACTAGGGAGAGATTTCAAAAGGATGCATATGTGTGCTTTCCCCTCCTGTGGTCCTTGGTGCCCAGCTGCAGGCAGAGTTCTCTGAACCTGTTCCTTCTCCTGCCACTGGGGACACTTGGAGTCCATTCGAGCCCTGAACCCTTACCTCCCCCATTTGCTTACCACTCTGCAGTCACACTGAGCTTTCCTCGGTTCTCAGGTCTTTGCATTTTTATCTTTCCAGATAATTCTTTTTTGGATACTTCTCTCTCACAGATTGTCTGTCCAATGTGGTGGGCACTAGCCACGCAGGACCACTACATTTGTGAACTGTGTCAGTACCAATGAAGAGGGGCCACGGGAAAACTGCATATGAGATGGCTAGACTTCATGGGAATACATCTAGACTAAACGTATTCATATTATAAAATAGAAGTATAAAGTATCTCAGGAACTCTGTAAATTACAGATAGAAATATTTTGCATATATTAGGTTTGACAAGATATATGTAAGTTTTTTACTTTATTTGTATTTCAATGTGGCCACTAGGAAGTGAAAGGGCATGTCTATAATGTGGTTGTGTCTCTGTGGGGCAGCAGTGGTGCAGAGCGCCCGCAGCGGCTGGTTTCCAGGCTGGGTAGCCTGTAAGGTGGACAGCAGCATTGGGACTCACGGACCAAGCCGCGTGCCTTCTCCTTCCCTCCCCAGAGGTCCCTCCACCTGAGCACCTTCCAGCCTCTGAGCCAGTTGTTAACTCATTTGCTTGCTTGCTTGTCGTGCAGATCAACTACAAGGCTGTTGGCTCCCTGGACCCGAGCGCCGACCTCTCCAGCCAGAGGGGAAAGGTGTTCAAGCTGCGGAATGAGACCCACCACCTCTTTGTGGGTCTATACCCGGGGACCACCTACTCCTTCACCATCAAGGCCAGCACGGCGAAGGGCTTCGGGCCCCCCGTCACCACGAGGATCGCCACCAAAATCTCAGGTACCGCTCTCAGAAAGCGGGTGCTGCTTTGTTACTCCCCCATGCCTCCTTTCCCTGGGAGTGACAAAAAGGCCAGAGCCAGCTGTGACCGTGCAGTACTGGAGATCAAAACGAGGCTGCCCCTTCTGTATTACCTGTGTAGTCTCACAAAGAAAACACAACCCACAGGCCTCCTAATGCGTAAAAAGTTGTACTAATCAGACCAGAGGGCATACTGTGCAAGTCACCAAAAATTAGACTACCCCGTTGCATTAAGTAGTGCTTTATTTTCTTCAGGCACAGTAGCTTTGTAAAAATGTGATTTGTTTTCAGGAATGTTCCTTTTAGCACGGCAGGGCCCAGCAGAGGTCTTCAGGAAATGTCTGATGAATGAATGAAGGTTACAAAGCCACCGTGGTCCATGATTCCACCTGCCACCCTCAGTAGGGCCCCTCTGCCCTTCGTCAACATTTGGGGGAATTACCTGAGAGCCTGTTCTACAGTTTACATTGTTTCAGAATGTCTGTGCAATTCTGGCCCGCATGCACATTTATTTTGCATAACAGACCCATGGTGGTTTTGGTCGCTTAATGTTTCCACTTCTGCTTATACCATAAGCATTTTCCATGTTGCTACATTGCTTTCATTATAATGTTCTGTCAAGCGGATGGACGTAATTTAATTAAACATTCCCCTGTGGTTGGATATATTTGGGACTTCCATGATTTTATAAAATAACGCTTCAATAAACATGCTGCAGAATAAAGTTTAATTCATCGGTTTGGATTATAACTCTGGGATTAAATTCCAGAAATTGAAATACTGAATTAAAAAGGATGTGGGTTTTAATAGCTCTTAATACAAATGGCTACCTCCCCCAGGGATCAGAGTTAGTTTCACTCCTGAGGGGTTGGGGATGAGAGAGGGAGGGTTTCATGAGGAGAAAAAAAAAAAAAAAGAATCACTCATCTCTATTGTAATTTACATTTTTTAATGCGCTTAACAAGGTTGACTGCGCTCATATCTTTTTGAGAAAATATATTTCCTGCATTTATCTGTTTGTTCATGTGGGACCTTTTGGTTCCAGAGGGTTACTGGTTACATCTCTGCCACCCTTTTCCCGGCTCTGCAGCACCATGAGGGAACCCTCAGCCTGGTGGGACGTCAGGATCTTCTTTGCTGAAATCCTGGGATGCCGTGTGACTCCACCTAGCTTCCCAAATGCCCTCCTTCCAGTCATTCTGAGTGTCTTGGGGTGAATGAATGAATGAATGAATGCTACACAGCCAGGGTGGTCTATGATTTCACCCCCGTGAGGGGGGCTTGGGACCTGTGCTGAGCTCCACACTCTCTCTGTTCTCTGCCCAGCTCCATCGATGCCCGAGTATGACACAGACTCCCCACTCAACGAGACAGACACGACCATCACGGTGATGCTGAAGCCGGCTCAGTCCCGCGGAGCCCCTGTCAGGTAGGAGGGTCCTTTGCCTCCAGTTCATAGCTTCCCTTCTCTGCACCAGGCACACCTCCCACTGAGGCATGTCACCATCAGTGCCCAGGCCAGGAGTGGCCAGGAGCCAGGCTTCCTGGAGGAGGAGGGCCAGCAGCCCACACCCATGTCAGCAGGCCCTTGAGCCAGGAGCCTCTCTCTGCACAATGGGTGTTGGAACTGATTCTGATGGAGCATGCTGAGGCAGACCAGGGGAGGCTAGGAGAGAACCTTCTGGAACACATTTATTTAGTGAGTTGGGAGCCTGGAGACAGCCTCCTGCCCAGAATATCTTTCCATGTCTGACTGGCATTCATAGACAAACGGGCAGACTTGCTGAACTCTGAAGCCTGCCTGCTCAGAGACATGAATGGGGCAGGACCTCTGGGCCAGGCCAGCATAGGGCCTTAGCCTGTTAGGGTCCCCCATTGGGGCTTGAAGTCTGAACCTGACTGCTGATTTCTGCCAGAGGCCGCTGGGGGTCAGGAGCAGGCTTATGGCCCGGGCAATGAAAGCCTCTCCATGGCTGAGCTGTCCCAGGGCGAGGTCTTGGCGCGTGGCTACAAGGAAGGCAGGCATTTCTCTTAAACCAGCTGCCCTTTGCACAGGGGCAGCAGCTCTGAGCTGGCCTGCTAGCTCTGCTCAGCGAAAAAGGACTGCAGTCCCTTGGAATCAAGCAGAGTGTTGGGTGAATCAGCTTTCTAATGGGCTCAGTCCAGCTCAACAAGCACACACTGAACACCTTAGCTGCCCGGAAGGGGGAGGGCCACAGGGGATAAAAACAATTCACTCACTTAGCCATTCAACAAGTATGCATGGGGCACTCCCTCTGTGCCGGGGACTGTCTGGCTGCTGAGGAGACAGCAGTGGGCTGGCCATAAGTAACTCGTGGTCAGAAGAAAGTCAGGCTCTCGCTGGGGAGACCGACACAGGAACACATAATTACAACACAGTGCATGCGTATGGAGATGTGCCTGGGTCATGATGAGGGCTCGGAGGAGTGAATTCCCAGAGGAGGTGACACTGAGCTAGGTCTTGAGTGCTGTGTGAGATTTTGCCAAAGCGGTAAGAGGACTCGAGTGAGCAAAGGCTTGGGGGACAGAAGCAGCTGCTGTCCTGGGAGCAGCCAGGAGTGGTTCTGTCTGCTTTGGCATAAAGATGAAGGCCGCAATGGGGGGTGGCGGTGGGCCTTGTTTGAGATGCCAGGTTTCTCTGAGGAGTCCTGGGGAGCCATCTGCAGTGTGGCTTTTATGAAACTGGAGACGAGGAGGCCAGTTGGGAAGGAGGCTATTGGGATCGTCCAGTTATCTGTTTTCCCACCTGGACCCAACGCTACCCAGAAATCATGGGCAGTGCAGTAGGTCCAAACAGCTGCCTGCAATTAGGCAGTCCTCATCCCCCAATTCTGTGGGCTTTGAACAATGTTCTGGTCTAAGTCAGGTGAATCTTCAGACCTCGCAGCAGGCGTGTGCATTGTTGGTGGGACACCTGAGCTGGAACTCTCGCCTTGTCTCCTGGGCATAGGGTGTTGCCGGACTGTCCTGGCGGTGGTGAGCCCAGGCAGGCGGAGACCATTACACCAAATAAATAGTTATTGAGTCACTTGCTTTTTATATTCCTGTTACTTTCATGCAATATTGTCATTCAAGTCTGTCTGTACACCGAGATATTGTTGTCCTCCTTTTTAGATAGTATTATCCTCATCCTCAGGCTCAGAAATTCCCGTGAGCACACAGACATTAAGTAGGGACACTGAGTCTGAACGTGGGTCCTCCAGGTGCTAAATCGCGTGTTTTACTTCGGCCACTTTGCCTGCCCCCCTTTCACAGCGTGTGCCTCTTTCACGAAGCAGCACTGGCCATGTTTCAAAATCTTTGGAAGCTTTCCAGGCGGCAAAATAGAGCCCAGGAAAGAGAGCACACAATCCATTAGCAGCTGACCTCCGCCCTGCACTTTTACACTCTGCAAGCCCACAACACTACCTACCGTGGCTTCCTGGTGGGTGTGGATTCAGTCTCCTCCCCACAGCTCTCTTTGTGGGGCAATGGAAAGGATGGGAGCTTAGTGACAGGGAGCCTGGGTTCAGGGCACTGCTGTGCAACCTTGGACAAGATACTTAATTTGTCTGAGCCTGAGTTTTGCTTATCTGGAAAGTACAAAGGGTAACGATTCCACAGAGGCTAAATAAGATATGGAAGTAAGCCACAGCAAGGCAGGCTGTCAGAGTTAGTTTCTTCGCTGGCTTTCCTGCTTCTCTTGGGAACTTAGAAGGTCAGTTCAAAATGGATTGTGAGAAATCTGTCCTATCACAAGGTCACAGTGCTGCCTGCTTCCTTCCTATTCAAATTCCCAAAGTTTTTCCTAAATTCTCAAAGCTTTTTGAGACCTGGTTTTATGGTGGGGATGGAAAGCCTCTGCTTTTTTCCTTCAGATCCCTAACTTCTTTCCAGCACAAAGTTTCTGGAAAAACTTCTTTTTAAAATTGTACTGAGAAATAAGCAATATGGGTCCAGCAGCATAAAGTTAAATTTTGTACAGAGGACTAGAGTCCCATCCTCAGGGTAAATCAGATTATATGTCCATGAAACTCTGAAAACTCGTCAAAGGAATTAGCACCATGTTTATTGAACAATTACTGTGTTCCTGGAATTTAACCTTGACTAACCTAAGGACAGGATCTTTTTGTTAGAAATGAGGGAGCTGAAGTTCAGTCTCAGAGCCAGCAAGTGATGAAGCTGGGACTAGGATCCAGGCCCGCCTGACTCCAGAGACCAGCAAAGGGGGCCTCTGAGAAGCCCATTCAGACATTCCTGGAAAAGTCTTTCCAGTTCCCACAGAGAGAAGCCCCCTGCACTCTCCTCTGGGCCTGCATACTCTTAGCGTGCCCATCTGTTTGGTAACCTCATGCATCCTAAGACCACAGTAAATTGAGAGGCGGGAATGGAGGTCCCCAGCAGCAGTGAAAAATGGCAGTTGGCAGGGAGCAAATAAAAAAACAGGAGAACTCTATATAACTGACACAGGGACTCAAGAAATGAGGAGGTCTGCATGCTGCAGCTCCTCATGGCCAGGGTTGTTCATCCATTGCTCCCAGCTCACCCACCTAAAATGTAGCATTAGGTTCTGGGTCTTCAAGCGCAAAGGACCTGCATCGAATGAGCAAGAGCTTGCTGCATGCCTGTCCCTGTGGGTAAACTGTATCCTCACCACATGGCAATAGCAGCCTCCCCATGTTGCAGTTATGGGAACTGACCCTAAGCCAACCCTCATTCCACTAGGCTCTGGCACCTCCCCAGGAGGAAGCAGTGCATGACATATTTTGGTGACATTACCATGGGAAAAAATGAAAATAAATGTCACTGCTCAAAGGGGCAATGCTTCATGTGTGGAGAGGTCTGGCTGCATTTCTCCCCAAGGCTCTGCATCACTGAGGATGTACATTCCTTTTCAGATCTATTTTCAGACCGTTGCTTGGGCATTTGACAAAAAGGGCAAGAGACTAACCAGTGCCACCCAGCTAGCCTTTCAGGGCAGCCAGCAATGACAGCAGTGGCTCCATCACAATAGACTTCCATTCCCTTAGCTCTTTTTCACCTTGACGTCAGGGCACTAAGATGCCCCATTGGAGGCAATTGACCAACAGGTCATTCAACAAATGGGGCATTTGATGTGTCTCAGGAGCAGGAGGTGTGTGGGTTATAGCAGGAAACAGGACAGGCACACACCTGTCCTCCTGAGGCTCAGCATCCAGCGGTTGTTCCTGGGAATGGGGCAGAGAGCAGGGGCCTTAAGCAGGCAAACAAACAAGATGATGAAACTGGACCAGCAAGACAAGGCCGGAAGGTCAGGGACTGTGCTGGTCGAGAGGAGAGGACTGGCTGGAGGGATGAGCACAAGGGGTCCGCAGGTCGGGGAAGAGGAGAATTGAGAAAACAACAAAGGCCATAACTGTAGCACATGAAGAGCTTACTTGGTGCCTGGGTCAAAGATGCCTGGAATCCTGTTTTATAGTTGATAGTTCCTTTGATTTCATTGTACCATCCTATTGCCATTTACCTAGGAACTCACCGGGGTGGAGCGGGGTGGAAACACCATCTTCATTTCTGAAGAGGAAGCTGTATTCTAAGGTGCTAAATGATTGGCCCAAGGTCGCCAAACTTGTTACCTGTACAGCCAGGACATGGACCCCACTTCCTGCCTTGGCGTTCATTGCTCCCCTAGAAGGTTCTGTGTTTCCCACGCCTGGGTTGTCGAGTGATGACTGAGTAATCATCCAGTGGGGGTGCTTGCGAGGGAACTGCCATCAGCTGGGGAATTGGGGGGGAGGCCCTCCGTTCCTGGTTGTGTGAGCCAGCCTTCACTTGAACCTCAGCATGTCTCTCTCTGAGTTGGATCTGCCTGTCCTCAAACAGCATCATAGCTGAGCCCCAGCACCCAGGCCTCGCCAGCAGGGTTCTGTCCCTGCTTAGCACACTCCAGCCCCTGCTCAGCCCCTTGCTGCCCCTTGGGTCTGACTCTATCTGGTGGGGTGAGCAGGCACGGAGGCCAGGAGGAGAAGTGGGGAGGGAAAATGCCCTGTGGGGCTCCCACACCCTCCTCTCTCCAGCCAGACCACGTCGGCAGTTTGGCCTATATTTCTAATACCCCACAATAGAGATTTATTGCTTTTGCATTGCTTTCCCCAGGCCTTCAAAGATTTATTGGTTTTTAAGTGACAGAATCCCAGAATTGCTTAAAAGATCAATCAAACAGTGACTGGAATCTAATATTCAGCTCTGACTCGAACACGCCGGGCCCTCTTCCCCCACGCCCCGCCTGTCATGCTGATGTATCTGTAGTAACCTTCCTCAGAAAGGAACTTGGCCATGAATTAATCACCCCTAATGCAGTCCCTGAAGTAGGGCCGGGAAGAGCCCCAAATTCTGTAGCAGACCCTCCCCTGGGTCCCCAGCTGGCTTCCTTAGAGGCACCCCTTTCTCCCA